GACTTGATAATGATTTCTTGCTGTAAGTAGTGCAGTGATTTCTGTCATCTCTGGTAGGGGTAATTATGGCACATTTGTAAGATTTAGACATTTCCTTAAGTTAATGTTTACCACATCCCATTTCTAAATTTTACCTGATGCAAGTAAAAAGAAAATCCTTTTTACCACTTTGTGTGTTATACATAGGCAAGTCTCTCCCTTTAATCCTGACTATTATACTGACAAGCTTGGCTGATCAAGCAACACCCCGGTACATAGCTCAGCACTTCGCATGGACAGTTGTCCTTTCTTGACAGTGAATCACATTGTTGAGGACAATTATTCCCTTATTCCAAAACATTATAAACTGGAAATATTTGAGGTGGATGAAATATTTTGACCTAATTTAGCAAGCAATTTTTCCTTATTGTTCGGGACCTCCTGCAGCTCCTTAGGACAGCACACAGATATTTAGAAATGCATTACCACCTAACTGAATTGGTCACAATTCACCTTGTTTTCAAGAGAGAATACGAAAATAAAATCACTGGGTGAACCAAGAGTGCGTGTGTACGTGTGGCTTTTAGTAACTCACTGAAATGCTATCACAGGAACATGATCTAAGAATGGTTGGGTTTAAGTGTAAGGCTAAAAAATATCATTAGAAGACAGACAATTAGAAAAAGGGAAAACTCTAGCAATTTTTATATTTTTAATTAATGGACACCTAGTTGGTTATATTTCTTCTAAGCACTTACGACTCTCTAAGTGCTAGCAAAAATTTCCCATTAAAAAAGCCCTCACACACAACTTGTGACTTCTTTTACAGAAGAGTCATTTGATCATGCAACAAAGCCAGAAAGATGTGTGTGGTATCACAGTTCCTCACTTGGTCATCAATTATGTGAGTGAAGACAGAGCTGTGCCGTCACTCTAAGTTATCGGAGGTTGTAAAGAAGCAAAATCTGATCCTTATCTAAATCTTTAAGGAATAACTGAGTTAAAGGACAAGAAGTCATGAGCTATGCTATGACTTGTTTACAACAGTTTTTCAGGTTTGACCTCCCTTTCATATAAGTCCCGTAAAAACATCTAATTCTTAATTCAGAACACCAAAATCATCAGAAGCACTAATTTTCTATAAATTGCATGTGTGTCTCATGAACTGGGAAATACATTATGACTTTGGTTAAAGATGAAAAAATGCTACAGTTAGTGCTATTATAAGAAGGAAATGAAGAATAAGAATTAATTGGTGGGTAGCTATGGTATTCTGCCAAATTTTACAGAGGGTCCTTTTCCATTACGTATGAAATTTGTAATCGATTAAGATATTCTGTGCTACTTAAAAAGAGCACATATTAAGTATTCAACTTCATAAAAAGCACTGAAAATCTTTCTCCCCAAATATTTCCAGCTTGACAGAAGCAGGCAAAAAGCATTAAGAAATGTAAACACACAAGAAAATTGCAAATCCCACCTGATGATCCAAATATATGGCATTCCTTTGAAGGTGATGTGAAAGAATCTCATTCTAGCAGGCAGCAGTCAGGGGGAAAAAGGAAAGGGACAGAAGGTGCAGAATGCATGAAAAGAGCTTTAAAAGATGTAAGCTAGACAGTGATCTTTATGTTTTAAATAGAAACATAATGCTGCTTTTATCTGCCTATTTTTGGTGAACTGTTAACAAGTTTTGACCCCGAAACAGAAGTGATGAAAGTTTGCTATAAACCAGACTCAACTACTACGTTACATTTTGGTTTTACATACAAAATACAAAAAGCTCATGTAAACGTCTACTACACCGACAGCTATAAACCCTTTGATAAATCTGTGTTTTAAACATGTCCTGATTTTTGTACAGAGATTAAAAATAAGATTGTATCTGACATGAGGCAGTACAAACAATCAATTAACCTCAGGATCATCACGACTAATTTTGATTATAGGAACAATACCTTAAAAACCTTTAAACTTAACTACGATACATTTTAAAATATTCCCATGTAGTTTTGACTCAGCCAGTATCAAAAAGCTATGAATAAAGCCTCAAAGGGTTAATAGCAGAACATCACAAACACAAAGAACCAAAGTTATTCTACTCCCACAGCAGTCAGAAAATGCTGCACTCATGGTACAATGCAAGCTTTGATTAATGAATGACTACAGGTTAGTAAGAATGGTACATGACACACATTGCTTTATAGCTGACCTTTGGGCTGCTGGCCTCAAGTTTTAGTTGCATGAGCTGTGCTAGTGTGTGTTCCCGGATACTACTCAGTTCAGCTTGCTGCCGTCTCAGCTTTATTAGCAGCAGCGTGAGCTCCTCTGGCTGAAGGAGTGCAGTGTGAGAAGCCAAAGAGTAGAAAAAAGGTTAATCGGTATCCTAAACAACACTTAATTCAAATAAGGGTTCTTAGTATTTTTCTTACAAAAACTTTCTACACTTCTACGAGGAAAGAGACACATTTTTCCCTAAAATGGACCATTTTCAAATATATAATGAAGGGTTAACTTTTAACTACTCAAAACAATTGACACTGCAAATGCCTTAAAAGTAGAACATTCTCTATAAAGGACAAAAATAAGCGAGGGTTTTGCAGGAGAAAGTCTGTGCAGCCCTCAAACTTTTTCTGACGTGCACATCAAATTGATGATATTGACTTAAGTGAAAGGAGAGAGAATTCCAGCCCTCAGGATATCATTACCTGTACACGGACAGCCATTTGAGCTTGGTGAAAGAATCAAAAAGTCCCCTCAAGAAAATTTAGTTTCTAAAATGGTTCTTCAAATGTACATGTCAAAATTAAGAGTAAAAAATAATTTATCTCCCCCCTCCCGATAATTGAACTACATCAGAAACAATCACCTTTCACAAAATGAAACTGCATAACCGTGACAAAAATAATTTTACATTCCACCTTCCACAGGTCTGAGGCTACCAGTTAATTTATTGCTTTACTTTTATGACTAAGATGTACAATCCAGCCTTAGGAAGGGATGAAAAGCAGTATTTAAACTCCAAGATTATTTATATAATGGAAAGAACGTCACACTCAAATGGGTATTTGTCAGGTAATTCCACACAGATCAGTTTAGGAAACTCTACCTGAACCATTCCTGGGAACCACTTCCATTAGCAATTCTTCAAAGAAAACAAAATGCTTAACACCACAAGTATTTTTGTTATGTTCCTGTTTGCTTCTGTTTCTTACACTTCTCCAGAAGTCAGTCTTATAAGAAGTTAAATATTCATCCAGCATTTTAATTTTCCCACAACTTCAGAGTTGAAAAAAGCCCCCAAAAAACCCAAACACAAAATACCCCAACCCTAAAACCCTGCTTGCTCTCTCCCACAGGCACAGAATTTTCCCAAAGAAAAGAAGAAAAAAACCTCCAGAGAACCTAATATTAAATTATTGGAAAACGAATTCCAGTTTCTTAGAGTAAAGAAGAAAAGTCTCTGAGACTAAGCAGGCAGGGCTTTGAGCTCATACCAAAGCAGCCCACAAGAGGGAGCAAGGGATTTCCACATAGCTTCAGCTGTCAAAACCATTTGCTTTGGGGGAAAACCAACACCAAAGTCAAAGTGTCTAATGGCCAATCTTCCTTATATAGTACTCTATCAATACCTGGATTTAAAATACTTAATTTCAGAAAGTTAGTGTAAAAATCTAGACTGCTATACAAGGCACGTTCAAGTTCTCTCACAAAATCAGTGACAATGATTCAGTCTGGAAATCAACATCATTTCAAAGCACAAGAAAACTTATTTTTAGAAATAATAGAATTGGGAGTAGCATCTTCAAACAGAAGGATTAGTGAATGATTTTTTTCAAGATCAAAACTATTCTTGGTATGTTCTACAAAAGCCCAATTTTAGTGCATCAGGAGTAAAATATTTCATGGTACTTCAATGTTTGCAAGCAAACTTTTTTCCATAGAGGAGCCCACTGAACAGTAATTCCTGCCTCTGTCTAGACACTCAATGTTGTAAACATTTGTGACATTGCTGCAAAGTGCTGTGCTTTTGAGACAGCCCTCGGGACTCTTGCAGCAACCACAACACAAAATTTAGTTTAAAGAGCTACCTCCAGGTTTCCTCCTCTGGCCCCTGCAACACTTGTGCTGTGGGCAGGACTTGAGGTTTCTACAGGCAGAAGCTTGGACCTCCTTGCCCCCTACCCCGTCTCACGGGCCCAGCCCCAGCAGATGACCCCAGGAGAGCCGATGGGGCCACGAACCCAAGGAAACCTCTGCGGAAGCCAAGGCGCAGCGGTAAGGCACCAGCTGCCAAAGGCCAACCCGTACGCTGCGGAAGGTGCCAAGGATGCGTGCTGGGAAGTGCAAGAAACAGGGGGCGAGGAAGTGGAAGGATTTACTGGGGAGTTGTTGTCCACAGTAGGATTCAAATTCTGTATTCTCAACTCTTAACTGTCTCAAACAAATTGCAGACGGACAGAGAAAGATTACAGAGAGGAGACAAAATCCAGTAAATAAACATAGTAAATTTATGACAATTCCTTAGGTTTTGGCTGAGGCACGTTTCAATTAGGAAAGTGGACAGTATTTCACTAATACTACTCCAATCAAATAACTTCAATGAGAGTTCCAACTCTATCACAGGAAAATGGGAGATCTCATAAAGGACATTTATCAAATACAGTTTTAGCATCCTTAAGATTTAAAAAAGGTAAACTTTATTTCTAGGATTTTCTAAACCCTTAATGGAGAAATATGTGTTCCGTGATGTATTCTACCCTCTCCCAGTAATTTCTGTAATATATCCAAGAATATTAAAAAATACTATCTGTATTTATCAAAATCTGGAGTCAGCAGCTACACAATATTCTTAGAATTCAACGTAACCAGAGTACTACTTTATTTGCTTTAAAAATCCCTGATTATTTAAATAAAGGGTACATTTAATACAAGCTTTGAATAAGACTTCAGTGTTGCCTCCTCATACTTAAAGAATTATTAAGAAAAAAACTCATGTACCAAATAAAAATCCAACTCACTGTTTTGCCTTGGAGGCTCTGAGGAGTAACAGGCTGTAAACTCAGACCTGCTGGCATTGACCTTCTGTCAGGCACAAACACATGCTGTACAGGAATAAAATAGGACAGTATGATCCACAGTTATCTGAAGACTCAACAACTATTGAATGGTAAGAAATAATCAAGGCAATTTCATGCTCATGACAAATTTGCTATGATTTGTGCCAGCTTTGGCCAGTTATGCTCCCTGCTGATCTACCATCGAGGGCACTCGAGTAGGCTACTTCTAACTTCTAGAAATAACCAGTTTTCATCATTCATTTAACGAACGTTCCTCCCTCCCAGCTGTCACCCTAATCAAAGCCCATGTAAACAACAATTTGAGTTTTTCACCCATCTCTGAAAGCTGTTTAAAAAACCCTAAGATTTCTATATACATGGAGTTTAAATCTTAAATTTATCCTACTGATGACAGTCTTCTAACCACCTACCTCGTAAAAACAGGTTTGTGTTTCTGAGCTAATGGAAAAAGCTAGTTGTGTAATTAGGAGAAAAACCACAAAGCAAATAGCATGAAAACCTGAAGGTAAATAATAATCTCATATGAAAGATGCTAAATACGAAACGAAATACTAGCATGAAGTGTTCCACGAGGGAAAAAAGAGAAAGCAAGAGACAGCTGAGAGGAGAAGTAGGCACATCTTGTGCAGCACTGACCCAGGTGGTACTTCTCTGATTTGTGAGAAGCACTGATTACTAAATTTCCAGTGCATTTGAGACAAAGAATGTCAAAACAAAACGACTCCTTTGTTGATAAGGAGCTAAGAACTTTCTAAAAGGAAGACTTAGTAAACAACTGTGAGATGTTTAAGGTGCTTTAAGATGCAGTTAAATATTTTTTTTCCTGCATCAAGAGACAACCAAGAGAAAGATTTAGCAAAAACATTTAGGAGCATTATATAAAAACTCTGGTTTTACATTCAACTCAAAGCATCACTTTTACGCAATGTCCAATCTATTAAGAAAATACGCATAGCACAAGCATGATGGATGTACCAGAGCCACATATGGCACCCAGATTTACCATTCCTCCTTCTTCACTGGTAAAGACCAGTACAGTTATGCCAGTTGGGTGCGGAGGTTGTGTGCAAGCAGACTCTGATGGATTTAGCGATCTCCCTAATAACAACTCAAAGGGATCAACAGAAACCACCATACTCTGCTGGAACCCAAGGCAGCCAAACATGTGGCTGAAGAACAGAATACAGCATATGAAAACTCTGGGATTTTTCAGTCCTCTTAAGAGTTTTAGATAAAAAAAAACAGAAGGAAGAAAGACATTGGTATGTACAACAAATTATTCTGAAAAAAATGCTTATTGACTCATTTTCTTTCCTCTAGAATCCCAGTACCATGGACAGTAATATGAGGACAACAGGTTTTCACCTAGTGTATTAGAAGAATATCTTTTTACAACCTTTAGGTTTTTAAGTGCTTTTTAAAATCTAACCTTTCTCCATGAAAACTCCAATATAGTTTTAATCTTCATTATAATAAAACACACTACGGTGCAACGTGAGTTTTACAGTAACAGCACACTTTCTGCTAAAAATCCTCATTTATAAGATTTTTTTTAAACTATTAACATAAGTATTTTACCTTAGTATGATGCGTCCTGTGTCTGCGATCAATAGTTACGTCTCCCCTTTGCACTGGTGAAGATACTTCTGATCTGTAGGTCCGTTGCGGGGAATATCCTTGGAAACCAGCAATTGAACCATGAGAAGGTGAGGTGGGAATCGAATGCATGGTCTGATCAGAAATATTAATCATAGTTTTTGGGCTACTTAAAGTACCGTGTCTAGTAAGAGTTGACTGCTTATTGTAAAACTGACGCTGCTGCCATTCATAGAGCTGCCACATCGTGTCATCGCGCATCGACCTCCGCTTCTCTTCGGCTGTGACCGGTCCTATGGCTCTGTCGTACGCCGACGGCGTGACGCTGCAGAGGCTCTCCGGCCGGGCTTTGCTGTTTCTTGGCAGTGTTCTGTAGCCTTCTGGGTACCGGGGTAAAACTTGAGGTCGATGGCTTGGCATGTTTCTTGGTAACGTCTGGTATGAGATTATGCTGAAACACAAGTTTTCTTTTTATGAGTGGATAGCATTAATTTATGGCAACAGAAAGCTTTTCAATATTGGTTACATTTATCTAGCTAACTCCTACTTCTTTTTTCTTTTTAAATACTGTGTCACTTTAAGAATACGCAAGAAAATCAAGTCAAAGAATCAACTATACTGACTGAATGTACTGTAGCAGCTGACACTGGATCCTCTTTCTGATTAACTGTGTGATTATACAACTCATATTCCATCTTTTTACCTGTTTAACAGTTTAGTAGTGTCAATTTCAGATCAAATCTTCTAACGCGTCTACATGCTGGATAGGACAAAGCTTTGAAAGCTTAGAAGTTCTATGCTGTTTCCATACAAACCCATCTTAAATGTTCTCTTTTTCAAATGTGAAAAAAATCCACAACTGCTTCCCCTAAGAAAAGCTTGAGCAATTACTATGGACATCAAATAATTATGAATTTTTAATGCAGACCATGGAAAAGTAGAAATAATTTTCTTATGAAATTATATTTTGCAGTTGTGAAGAATAAACCATTCCATATCAGGTATTCATGTGAAACAAACAGCAATAATATTTCTTCATGTGATGACAACATTTTATTGCTTTTCAAATCAGACATGAATTCAAAGCCTTATTCTTTAATTTGTTGACACATCAAAATTCTGGAGAGCTCCAAGCATTTAGCAACTTTTAGCCTTAGTTGAAATGCAGAACTTTCCATACTGAGTATCAATGCATATCTAAGTATGACAAAGCATTTCTTGTTTTTTCAGAGGACAAAATCTAGGTCATAAACACTGATTCATTCAACCCTCATCTAAAATTCAGATGAGCACCTCTTAAAGCCTTTTTCTATTGATCACATCAATGATAGATGCTTGCCCGAGACAAGAAAATTGATCTCGAATTGGACATGATTCAGCCATCAGAGGGCAGCAGCTTCTCCCCACACCCCAGACTAACTCAAACTAAAACCCCTGCCACCACGAGGCACCAGAATCTGAACATGGTTTTGAATTACTTCAGTGCCACAAAAACACTTAAAAAATTACATAGGGCAAATGGTAAGGTAAACCAGCATTGTATATGTTAGATCCTTACGAAATAACTATCAAGGAAATTGAAAATGGTAAATAGCACTTTCCACTTAAAATAGTTGGGATGAGTATTCATGACCACCTTTAGTATTTTGGAAAGGAAAATTACTATAAAGAGCATCACATGCAAAATCTGTTGCAGTTTCTGAAACTTCCCAAGAATTAATAAAGAATTATCCCTACTTTTTAGACCGAACTGTTTTCCATCCTCACCCCACCCACCCTCCCCCTCCAAAAAAAATGGGAAATGGATTCTAAATACCCTCCTGATGCCACAAAATCTGCTTAAATACCTCCAAATTTCTACATATAACATATAATTCATGATAAAGGCTTCTCTCTATCTCCTAAACAACTAAGAGACTTCTGGGTTCAGTTTCTAGCTTTCAAAACACTATTTCAGCTTTCCACAAATGGGTACTGCAAGGCCTGGTATTTTCATAAAGATATCCAGCAGCTAGATGAATCTCTCTCACGGAAGCTCCTCTCCCGTTTTATTAATTAAATGGGCACAGTAATCCTGTTGGGTCCTTTAAATATCCCGGACAACTTGAAGAAAAACTGCCTGAAGTTCTTCATACGTAGAAATAGCTATTTGAAGCCTGCATGCAATTACTTATGTTCTAGAACATTTAGGAAGGTTAACATGACCATCTTCTTTTGGTCAACCATGAAAGCTTTGAAAAAGCCCAACTGCCTCAATATTAAGTGTTGTTTTACATTTGATACAACCAGAACAGATTTACAAATGGCCTAGTGATACCTGCAAAAGTGTCATGCATACAGATGCTTCCAAAAGGCAAAAGGGCTTCCACACGAGTGTACAGACTTAAAGACACCTTCAGAAGTTATCTCTAGGACTGGTGTTGGGCAGCAATGCTGGTTCTGGTGTTCACTATACGGGAAAGCAATGTTGCTACTGAACACTTCCTAGCTCCTCACCTCAACCTTAAGCTTAAACGAACTGGAGTTTCTTTCTACTCTAATTCATCAACTTCAATTCTACTTAAACGTCTGTCTCCAGCCCCCAACTGGCCATCAAAAAATAAAATTTAAATGAAACCACATTCTAAAGATATCACTATACATTCGGAATTCGGATCATTACTAAAGGCCACTTCCACACAAAGCAAGAAAGATAGCTTAAGGCCAATTTTCAGTTTGCTACTTTTATGTAGACCTGCATTTGAAAGCACACCCCTTGTGCTATCAGTGCCGCCCTTATCAGCAAGTGGCCTCTGTAGACAATAACAAATTACAGTAAATTAGGAACATGTTGTTAACAGTACTTCCCTCTAACTCCCACAATGAGTTCAGTTTCAGGGTTTATGTGCGTGTTCACAACGGAAAATGGCACAGCTATTCAAATTTCTTGTTTGGTTGTGAGTTTTTCAGTCCAGTTTTAAAAAAACTAATTGCATCAAAGAGCCTCCTCAGTTCTCATTATGCAAGCATGCATAATAAAACAAGTGTCGGTCGCTTTCTGTGCTGCCAGTTCAAACTTGATCAAACTATTTATGTTGACTGCTTCATGGAACAACTCAGTAACAATTCCTAATTATATTTAATGAAGGGCTAAAGACAACAAGGAAATGTTCAACCAGTTTTGGCAAGTGTGTGAAACTAATGTAAATTTCTCAAGTTTTTCCAAAACTGAAAAGCCTCTAACCCCATATTTTGAAATGCGCAGAACACACATATTCTGAACTTGGTTCTACCTTAAGCTCTGCTGCTCTGCCATCCATCTCACACATCCTGCCTAATTTCCAACTCTTCAAAATATTTCCTGTCATAGCATCTCCATTGCTTCCTATCTAATGTAATATTAAAAACCTTTATATTTTACTGCTAGAGGTGCTTGTCTGTAAGCCAGCCTGAAAGTGATGTCCCTACACTTTTGTCAGACAGAAAAATTGCTACCGGCACAAGATTCAATATCATTCACACGTAATTTTAAAGCTTCATGAATAAGCACTGGAAGTCAATATTAGAGCTGAGAGATGTTTAATTTCATGAGAACAGAAGCTTTAAGCTTCGAGTTAGTTACATTCCTATGACCTACTCTTAGGGAAAGCTTCTCTCTCTTGGAAATTAATGTTTATTTAAAGTTGAAAAGCTCCCTGGAATATTTTTGAAGAATTTTAAATAAAATATTATTACAAGAATTTGGGAACAAAAAAGCAGAAGACTGAGCAATTTCAAGAACAGATTTTAAGAAAAAGAAATGTTGTGATTGATGACACCCTCCCTCTGCTATGATAGAGAAATTTCTAACTCCCAAAAGCGTTTCTGACCATTTTTATTTATCGAGTTATTAATATAGTTTAATTTATTAATAATCACTCAACTATCAATACCAGAGAAATTTTAATAGATCTGTTCTGAGCAGTCATCCAGGCACTTCTTACAGAGAAAAATGAATTATACATTTATGTCATAGAGACAAGGAACCTAACCAGGACACATGTCTAGGTATTACCTGTTAGAAAGCCTAGAAAAAGTGGGGGGGAAGAGAAAAAAAAAGAAAGGGAAGGTACTTACCCTCTTGCTTCCTCTTCTTGTCCTTTTCCTCTTTGTATTTTAATCCACTGTTCCAACTGCAGCATCGAATTAGTTCTCTGCATAACTCGCTCAGACTCCATATGTGACTGAATGGCATTGTGCTGAGCTCCATCCCCAGTGTCTGCCAGGACAACACCAACTGCTTTATTCTCAGACCCGTTCAAATGAACCGGTCTGTAGTGTCCAGCCTGAATCGTGGTTATGGGTAAAGTCCTGTACTCCGATCCCAAAGGATTTAGCTTTACACTGTTAATTTTTGTTAACGGTTTATCATGCCCAACTTTCTGGAATCCGTATTTTTCGGCTTCCAAAGCTTTCTTCTCCTCACTTCTGTTCACTTCTTTGTTTTTCTGGTTATTTTGTGCCTCTGGCTTAATTAGCACCCGATGGTTTGAAATATTATTTGCCTCTCGAGGTGGTGTATTTTCAGTTGTTAGCTTCTCTATTCTGGAAAGGAATATATGACAAGCTGTAATATCCACAAAACATTCATTAAAAAATAGCAATGAAAAGTGTTCATCAGGGTTCATTCAGAGAATTCCCCGTCCAGGTATTTTACACCAATATCTTGTCTTTGAGAGAAAAATCCAGGACATATTTTCACCATAATCAAAGACAGGCTGGGTTTTTTTTTTTGTTGTTGTTGTTGTTGCTGTTGTTTTGTGGGTTTTGGTTTTGTTTTGTTGTTGTTGGTTTTCCTGTTTATTTTTTGTTTGGTTGGTTTAGGGTCTTTTTGGTTGGAGACTGTGTGTCTTCTGGCACACTACTCTATTTCTTTAGTATTTTAAAAGCTATTATAACAAGGGTACGTTTTTTAAGCCGACTTCAGCTTAAGACCCTAGAAAAAATGTGCACAAGAGGAAATAAAGCCACAGCCTATAAAAGTGGATGTTCAGTTCCTGGAGGGCTGGACATCCAAACACTATAAATATTCAGTGGTTCTGGAAGTAAAGCTTCCAGATGTCAACAACCTGAAATTCAGATGATTTTTAAAGCCATCTTTAAAATTGGTAGGAGATTACACTGCTGACCAGCGTGTGATTCACATTACTGCTGAGTTTATCATATAATGATCTCCTTTAAAGAAAGCAAACAACGTCTTATGGTCACTGGCATCAATTAGGTTTCTTTGGTATGTTATCACTTCGGCTGGCATACATTCTGTGGAAAATAACTGTGGCTTCCCTAATTTTAAGGGAGAAAATTGCTGCTGACTTAGGGAACTGTACCAAAAAAATAACGGTATTTTTAGAACAGTTACTGCTTTAGAGTACTTGCAGAAATACTCAATGTACCCAGTCCTATTAGCTATCTTTTTAAAATTTCAAAATGTCAAGAAGCTGTATTTGTTCCATACTGAGACATGAACTGGACATACAGCTCAGACAGTGACTTTTTTTTCCCTCCAGTTTACAAGAAAAAACACACAAAACCCCTAAAATATTTCGATCAACATTTTTTGGTACAGGAGGGAAGAAGATTACTTTTTTTTTTTTTTTTTACT